AATTACATTGAGTAGCAATTCCTGCTAGGCAATTAATTGCTTCACCTTTCTGGCAATGAGGGGAAGGTGTGAGTGGGGGCAGGGTTGTACTGGGGTCACCTGGGGGAACTTCTGCAACCTGTTCCTCTGGCTTCCAGCTGCCAGCTCCTCCCCAACTGTCAAGCCTGGGCAAGGCAGCAGAACTTAGCAGCAGGGGCTGGCTGGGGGTGGGGGGCGTCAGAAGGGTGGGGTGTGTTGCCCAACTACAAAGGACACAGTCTCCACCGTACCCCTTACCATTAATAGGTAAGAGAGTCACTTCAGTAACTAAAACCTTAAGACAAATACTACAATTTGATGTTTCCGTCCTCAGTTATCTGTTAAGAATAACTACTGGAACCAGCATGTAGAAGCTTCTTTTTTTTAAAAGCCTCTGCAGGTTGAAATCATTATCCCAACTAGCTGCAAAATTAAGAGGCAGGGAAAAAGTGTTATATCTCACTCACGACCTTAATATGGGTACAGAGTAAAATTTTAAAAAAATATTTCTGTGGTTCATTATTTTTTTTAAAGCACGAGAAAGTGGTAGCTTCCTAAACTTTCATGTGCATACAAATTATCTGGATATGTTTAAAATGGAGGTTCAGGTCAGGTGTGATGGGTCACACCTGCAATCCCAGTGCTTTGGGAGGCTGAGGCAGGAGGATTGCTTGACCTGGGAGTTTGGAGCTGCAGTAAGCTATGATTGCAGGCCGCTGCACTCCAGCCTGGGCGACAGAGCAAGACCCTGTCTCTAAATAAATGAAATGTAGGTTCTAATTCAACCTACACTGGGGTGCAGGCCAACGTATCATGTTGAAACCACCCACGAAGATGGCAGAAGCTGGGGACAGAAGGCTGTGAGCAAGGTTCCAAGATGATGAACACTGAGGGGCCTTCAGATAACAGTGACGAGGAAAGGCTCACAAACATTGTTTCGTTCCCTAAAAGCCCAAATGCAGACCTTTTATATTTCACCTATATTATTCCCATGAAGCAGGTGAAGGAAATTTATATCAGGGCAGTGTCCAGGGAAGTAGTAGACCACTATCTGCACTCCCCTTAGCTCTGGGAAATACAAAGGGGACCAAAGACCTCTGGGAATACAATCACGTGCAACCCCTGTAGTCCTAGAATTTAACAGAGTTGCTACCTGTCAGATTGAGAAAGGAGGGCAATTTAGCAGGAATATTAGACTTTCATGGTGTTTCTAATAGGGCTGATTTTTCTCTGCCGTATCCTGCTTTTACCCCAGGAGATCCACTTTACCACTACTACTGCCCAAACAGAAAAATGGGCTTTTTCTTTAGCAAACCAAATAAAGCCAAGCACTCAATAAATATTTGTTGAATGAATGAATAAATCAGCACATGGCTCAAGTGCAAAAAGCTTTTCAATGAATAATTTAAAAGCAAAACTTAAAAAAAATCTTGTGCTTGGTGTTGATTACTGCACTCTCAATAGTTGGTTTCTCAGCAACTGCAGATTTCACAAGAATCACATTAAACGGCTTTTTACATTCTCTGTTTGGAAAGAGAACAGGAGGACTTACAGGAAGTATGCTCAGTTCTAATCCAGTTGAACAGGTATATAATTCTGTATTGCATGTTTTTCCTGAGACAATAAAAACCTGTTACCTGAGCAAGTTCTGAAACTACTGCCATAGCCATGAATAAAATGAAATGCTGTTTCTTTTTTCTCCTCTGTTAAAAACAATGTCCAAGGCCAAGGAAACACAAAAAATAGCAGCAGTACTGGCTCTATTGTCACTTAGCTGTGTGGTCTTGAAAAATCACTTTTCTGGACATTTTTCAGCATTTATAAAGACTGAATTAGTGCATTTTAACCTTAATGATGCGCTACTTTTTGCAAATGTAATTACATGAATGCTCTCCTCCAAAAATTTACATCTACAATTTTGCACGTAATTTCAGGAGATTCAAAATCCCTGAAACTTATCCATGAACCCCCCCCAAGATTAATAACACCTGGACTAGATGCTAAGTCCTCTGAGCTCTATGATTGGTTCCACTAATTTCTAACAATTAAAAAAGTAAATATGTTTATGGTGCTTACATTAGGGTTTTCATCCTAGAACCAACTATATTCTAAAATTCTTGGTTGGACCAAATGACTATTTCAAGCCACTTGGTTCCTCTCCTCTAAAAGGTGACAACTAAGCAAAAGTGTGACAGTCTGGTAATAGATGCTCAATAATTACCCTGTTTTAGTGGCACGTTAAAATTAATTTCAAAAAACATTAAATGAGTATTAATACTTCTGAAACAGCAGTTGAGAGATTTCCCTCCGGTAACGAGGCAGTGTACCAGGGACATTCCAGAAACCACAGACTGTACAAAGCACGTGATTTTGAAAGTTTTATTCAAAGGCTTTTTCTTTTTTGCTTGAGAGAATATTACTTTTCCATTAAAATGAACAGGTATGTCTATTCTGTTGCTTGTCAAATCCACCTGCTAATGGTGTTTATGAGAACTATACGATCCAAGATTTACTCTTTTGGGAGTCTGTGAGAAAGCTGTGGTTTCTAACAACGCTGAATCCATGTGCCTAATGAAAATCTCAATTGTTAACGGCTGCCGGGCGCGGTGGCTCACGCCTGTGATCCTAGCACTCTGGGAGGCCGAGGCGGGCGGATTGTTTGAGCTCAGGCGTTCAAGACCAGCCTGAGCAAGAGCGAGACCCCCGTCTCTACTAAAAAATAACAGAAAGAAATTATCTGGACAACTAAAAATATATGGGAAAAAAATTAAAGGCTATCTTCACTTTCCTTAAGGTTTAACTTTGCACCCAAACGTGGGACAAGCGGTGGAAACGGTAATATTGTGAGCTTTCCTCCTAGAACGCTCAGCAAGCACGTCTGTGCCCTTCCACCTCAAGTCAGTCTATCGTTCTACGCCTCAGGTCAGGGTCCTCCTCCCTCCCCAGGATGTGCCGCAACGTTGGCCAGTCTCACTCCACAGACAAGCGAACCAAGCTGGAAGGAAAGGCATGCAGGCAGAGATGGTGCGGCCGCGGCACGTGGGAACGCGGGAAGCGGATTTCCAGGGCCCGGACTTCGGTCTCCCACACTCAGGCCTGTCGCTGCAGCCCGGGCGATGATGCCGCGGTCTCCGGTAACCGCGAAAACGAAATCCTACTCTTCCTTGCCCTGTTACAACAGAAAGTCACGTTCCGAAGCTCTCTACATAATAAGGAAACCTAACTCCCACCGCCCTGTCAAAGCCCACGACAAATTCCGCACCGCCAAGAGCCACCGCCGCCGCCGGAATTGGCTCCGCCCCTTCGTCAGACGTCACGGAAATGAGGAGCTTCCCCAGAGGATGTCCCGCCCCACTTCCCTCAGCCGACCCTAGCTCACAGCTTCCTAGGATTCTTAGGATATGCCTGCTTGCCCCAATTTTTTTCTCTTTGCAATGGGAACCTCCTCATATAGCGCCCTGCCTTATTCTCCTCTTGGAAAGCACACGTGCTCTCCGAGCAGTGAAACTGATCCCACAGATAATTCAGGCGCCTAAGAGACAGCCCTACGGTCATGACGTATACTTTGTGAGCCGACAAACGAAGGACCCGCCTCCTCCCCCTATTTTTCTTTTTTTGCATCCGGTTCAGTCGTCTCCTCTAAGTGGAGCTCACTGAAGAGGCACGTGCGCTGCTGGATGGAGCTGGTCGCTGGTTGTTACGAGCAGGTCCTTTTTGGATTCACTATACACCCGGAGCCCAAGGCGAGCGGCGACCACGAGGTGAGATACCCCGCGCCGAGAGACCGCCGGAGACGGGGCAGGGAAGGTCAGGTTTAGTTCCCACACCGCAGAGGTAAACATTGGAGCGCCTGCTGCTCTCTTCCTGATCTCTCCGGATTAATTGATGAATCAAACTCAGGGGACTTAAGTAAAGCTAACCATTTAAAACACGGAATAGGCATTTTACCAAAATGAGATATAATAATGTTTGCCTATTATAGTAAACAAAAAGTCCACAGGGCACGAAGGAAGCGGACATTTATGCACACGGACAAGAGTCATAGACATGGATTTGAGGGTTGCTCCCATAAGCTGACTGCCAGTGTAGGTATTCAGCGTTTAATGAAAGAACAGTTCTCTGTTTCGCTGAGTTTCTGTCCTGGAGTTTTACAAAACATTAGAGCTGGATTAGGATAAACCTCTCTTAGGTGAAGGAAATGATACTAATTCGTTTATTATTAATTGGAAACTAACCGTGGGCCCGGCGATGCAAGTGCAAAGATGCCGGAGCTGTGGATCTTGTACGGACGTTCCCGACATAAGGGGTGTTGGACTGATATGACAGATACATGGAGAAAATTTACAGCAGAATATGACGAATGTTTTGCTAGATGTGTGAATAAAAAGTTTAATTGCCAATAGTCAAATAGGTAGATAGTACTATACCCAAGATTAGAAATCTGGTCTCCTAACTTCTAGCCAGGTACTATTTTATTCCCTAAGCAATTCTAGGTACCTCCTAGAAATCTATTTTACTACAGTACTTCGTTTTAAAGAAGTCAACATGTCAGTCTAGAATTAGCCAGAAAATTGGAAGTATATGCCTTGACTAATTGCGTTTGTTTATTTTGTTTTCTACTCTAGTTATTTACCTGCTTTTGGCCTTTGGCTGAAAGGTGGAATATTCAAAGATGATATTGAATTTACACATAGTACACTTCACAGCAACCGTTTGAGACAGATACAGTTATTCTCAATTTTCAAATGAGAGTTCTTCATAGTTAGGTTAATTGACTGCTCAAGGCCACACAGCTAATAATTGGCAGAGCTGACGCAGGATATCAGGGACCCCAGGTGTCGCCGACACTTGAAGCTCTTAACCATTACCAAATACTGCTTCTAAATCTAGACAGTAGCCTCAGTAACCAGCATTACTTTTGTGTCGTGAATTAACAAAGGATATTCTTAGATTTAAGGCCCTAGCAGCTCCTCAGGAATGCTGTGCCTTGACACAAAAGAAGCCCCCTTGGTCCTAATTGAAGGAAGGACTATTTGTTGCCGTAGTTACTCAGGACTTAATTCGCAGTAACAAATTTTAAGTGTGTTCGGAGGAGTTTGGTGGATTTTTTCCTTCTTTGGTTTGTTTTGCTGTCATTCTTTGCTCTGCCCAATCCAAAAGTCACATGGCAATAAGCGTAGAGTTCTGGTGATTCTCTAGGGCTTATGTTTGTACTAATGGAAACATACCTTTACTCTGCTTACTTTTCTTTATCTTGTCACTATCCATATTTCTATATGACATCATATTTATTTCGTCTCTCCCACTGGCATGAAAACTCCATTACAATAGGGACAAAGTTTTCTGTTTACTGCTACATATCAATTGCCAGAAATAATGGCAAGCAAGTGGTAGGCACTCGTTATTTAAATGAATACATTCACATGCAAATTTGAACATTTGAATGAGTAAATGATGTGGAAGTTTCACATGTAAGTAAATAACATTAAAGACTTAAAAATTTGGGTGGGATCTAGAAGTCTCTCTAGTCCACACTCCATTGCTGGGTTCCAGAATTAAAATACCCAGTATTGCCTTCCCACCTCTTTGGTTTACCTTCCTTATTCAGTTTTCAGATTCTTGTTTGTTTTAATCTATAAATAATTGCATAGATTTTTCTCCATTTGGAAGACCCATTGGTAGTTCTCATGGATCGTGGAACCACTTACCTGTTTCTGGAGAACTGTGATGTGACTGTGGCAACTGATCATACGGTTTACTCTTTAGCAGAAATGGTCTCCCGTGGCTGACTTCACTCACCATGCCCACACTGCCTCCTTGTCAGCGGTAGCTGTAAATAGCCGTTTTGTAGTCACCGGAAGCAAAGATGAAACAATTCACATTTATGACATGAAAAAGAAGATAGAGCATGGCGCTCTAGTGCATCACAATGGTAAGAAATCATATCCTTTAAGATAGTAATGTGGAGGTATACTTTACAATTTGACTTCAGTCGAACAATTCATTAAGTGTCTGTTTTCTAGCAGATTCTGTGCTAGGAGATATAGAAATGAAAACAAAAAAAGATCCTAGCCCCAGGTTACTCACAGTCAGAATTGGTAGTCAGAAAGGAGACAGTTAACTCAGTTGGGGGCTGGAGGGATTGGAGTGAGATTTCACTGAAACCTTGCTTAAAATGACATCTGAATTATCTTAAAAAAAAATGTCAGTTGTTAGCCAGGTGAAGTTTGCAAGGAGGGGGAAGGGCATTCCAGGCAGAGCAGGGAGTGTGAGGAGCACAAGGAGCAGTATCTTAACAATATCTAACTTTACCAAGGGCATATTCTGTATTCCTCAGTTTGCCAAGAAGGTACTGTTATATCTCTAGTTCATAGAAGGGAACACTTAGGTTCAGAGATCCATGACTTGCCTAAGGTCACAAAACAGTGGAACTATTAATAGAACTTGAATCCAGGTCTAGAGCCTGTGTTTTTAGCCACTGGTGTGCGTGGGAAACTGTAAGCAGTTCCATATTATGAGAAGGTTACATTGGAGTGGGGTGGGCCGCACAGAGGTAGATGGGACCAGATCCTGGAGTCCTTGCGAGAAGGCGGATAGGGACTGAATTGGGAGAGTTAGAGTGAATGAGCGAGCAAATGAGCGGTGTGGGTTTGAGGAAAGTGCTGGCAGTTTGGATATGGGAAAGGTGCTGATTAAGAACAAGCAACAGGACAGAGGATGATGTGCCCCGTTGAAGTTGGAGGCTATGGATTGAGTAACATCAGTTTGCAGTGTTTTTTGAGTTTCTTCAGCAATAAGCCACGGACGTTTCTGTAGAGAGAGGAACGTTACTTAGTGTGTGTAGTAGAAGGATTGAGTTACAAGGGAATTGAGGATTTTGGTGAAAGAGTAAGTGGGCAGCCTAGAGAAAATGGGATGTCAAGGGTTGGGAGATCTCTGAAATTTAAAAAAAAAAAAAACAGCCTGAGTGCAGGAAGGTATGAAAAGACTGGGAAGGTGTGAGCTCATACTCAGAGGATAGGTTCCTAGAGTTCAGGAGTTCCAACATGGAGCAGCTCTAGGTGGAAACAATGCCCAGGCTGGAGATATGGGGGACCAAAACACAGAGGAGGCAGAGGTCGCTGGAGTTGAGGTCAAGGAGCAGTAGTTCCCAACTCATGGTTGGGTTTTCCACACTGATAGTGAAGTTGCCCAAGATAGTGGCAGGATCAAGGGAGAGAAAGACCAAACAGGTAATTTTTTTTTTCTCAGTACTGAACATTTTATGCTGTTTTCATTGCATTTTCTCAGGGGACAGAGAATGAGAGGTACCTCAGCCAAGGAAGTTGGTCTGCCACAAAGGCAGATGGATGCCTTTTTTCCTACCCTATATTTTATATATTCCAGAGGTTCCACACCAAGTGTTGGTTTCTAGCAGTAAATTTAGAGTGCTAAATGGCTTCCTTCTATTAGATGTTGTCTTAGTCCATTTGGCTTACCATAACAAAATATCTGAGACTGGATAATTTATAAATGTTAGAGATTTATTTCTAGCAGTTCTGGAGGCTGGGAAGTCTGAGATGAAGGTGCTGGCAGATTTCAGTGTCTAGTTAGGGTCTGCTCTCTGCTCCATAGATGATGCCTTGGTGCTGAGTCCTCACGTGGTAGAGGGCAAGGCAGCTCCCTTCAGACTCATATAAAGGAGACATAAGAGTCTCATGACTTAAACCCTTCACCCCCTAAAGACCCCACCTCTTAATACTACCACATTGGTGACTAAGTCTCAGCATGTGAATTTTGGAGGGACACATAGCAGACAGTCCTTAGCTACTTTGACAGGTGTCTTGCTTTTTTCACCAACAGCTATGCTTTGAGTGATTTCAACATTCCTTTTCCCCTCTGTCTCCCAATTCCAGTTCATACAAAGAAGGCTTCTCTCTCCCTGAAGCATAGAAGAAATAAGTGAAATCTGATCTGTTCAAACCCATTAGGGCAAGTGTTGAACAATGAAAAAAGGACTTAATTAGTAGAAGGACTTTAGGTGACGTTTGAATGAACTAGAGTTCTTGGTTTCTTCCATTCCTTGGATAAGTCCTGTTTTTCTAACAGCTGGTAATAAATTCTTTTTCTAGGAAGCAGTTGTGGGAAAGCAAACTTTCCAAAGGTAAGAAGATAATAGGGAGAGGAAAATATGAGCAAAGATGGGGGCTAATGGCTCCCACTTTGAGAAGAAGGTGGTACATAAGCCCACATATTAATAGTACTTTTGTTGTGTGTAAAATAATTCATCAAAGAGCTTTGGTTCTTTCAATATAAAGGCTAGTGTAAAGGATTGACTAGGTGGTGTATAGATGGAAAATGACCCATATTCTGTAAAGGACCAAATAGTATATATTTAGATTTTGTGGGCCATATGATCTCTGTTACAAT